AAGGAGCAAGTAGAGCTCTAGGCAGGAGTGTTGATTGCATTGTGTACATAAATTTTGGGTAAACATAGAAGACTGATCCGTAAGTTGTACATTAAAGCTTTTGAGTAAGTAAACTTATTTTGAAGTTTTACTGAAGCTCTGTATTCTATTTTGATATATCAAACAAACATGCTTCCGAACACGAAATTATGAGGTGTAATTCTAAGGCTACAAATTAGTTGTTTTAGAATAATTTGAATAGGATATTTCCTACTCACTTGATCCTAACAAAAATAATTAGGATGGGTGTTGATGAGAAATGGATATGTCTAGATTTTTCCTTCTCCTTCATTATACTCCTAGTTGACTGAAGAAGGGGGCTCAAAATGAGGTGTAACACAACACCCCCAACATATAATTCTAAAATAAAAAAAACTAACTAATGAGGAATCAAGAATATGAAAAGAAAATATCATTAAAAAATAATCCTTAATCATAGTCTTTGTAAGACCAATATAAATCATTATTTTAAGCTTTGATAAATCTCATTAAATCCTTACAAGTGATATATCCCTCCATTATATGATCAAAATCAATCAATTTAGACTTCATTTTATGTAGAAGGACAACAATTCTACTCATGGCATTAACAAGTTTATTTTCAATTCCAATAGAGCATTTAAGAACAAAAGAATATTCCTGTTAAAGATCAATTTCTTAGCATTTATATGTCCCAACCTTTTTGGGAATTTAAATAGTTCAAAACTTCACAATCGGAGTACAACACAAACACTTTTATGTAACAAATATTGCCTCCAATAGGAAGAGCGTGTGTAATAGCAAAGAACTCCCTATTATAGTTTGAACTTCATTGAATTTCTCATTAAAGAATGCAATGATATGTCATTCCTGACCAAATTTTATTAGAATCAAGCAACTTAAGCACAAATGCATAAGTCTTTATTTGATTTCATTAAAAATACGATCAATGGATTTAATCCATTTAAATTTCTCATTTTAAGACAATGTGTAATTGCCTAATTGGAGAAATGACAATATTAAACCATTTAATAAATTGTCTACAAGAACTAATCAAATCATAAAAACTCTAAATAATTTGTTTATTAGTAACTTTCATCCATATTAATAAATTTCACCTTACCAAAATGAACAAAAAATCTATTTCAAGATAGAATAAATCCTGAAATCACAAATAATATTTTTTTTCATAATTACAAGTAACTTCTCTACTTTCTTAAATACTCTATGGAGAAGATCAAAAAATTCTCTCGTACCTTACTATAAATTAAAATATAATCAAAACAATCAACAAAAAACTTTCTGATGAAAGACTACAAACAGGGTATCCTCATGAAAGTCCTAGGTGCGCTAGTTAATCAAAAATATCACTAAACATTCATATAATTCATTTTCATCTTAAAAATAATTTTTCATTCATCACTCTCTCTCATTCTAATATGATAATAACCACTTCTCACATGAATCTTAGAAAAATATCACAGCAATATTCATCATGTCTAATATATCATTCAAATACAACAACAACATCAAGCCTTTGTCCCACTACGTGGGGTCAGCTACATGAATCCTTTTTCGCTATTGTGTCCTGTTAAAAGTCAAATTCTCATTTAAATCTAATAAAGAAAGATCATTTCTAATATTTTCTAACCAAGTCTTTTTAGACCTCTACCTTTCTTAACATAAGTCAAATCTAATACCTCAACTTTCCTAACCGAGTCATCAGAAGGCCTCCGTTTAATGTGACAAAACCATCTAAGGCGACTCTCTCTAATCTTATCTTCCACTGGAGCTACTCTAACTTTTTCATGTATATGCTCATTTCATATCCTATTACTAAGGGTAAAGCCACTCATCCACCTAGGCATCCTCATCTCTGCAACACTTAACTTAGTATTAAACTTCTCTTTTAATGACCAACATTCGGCACCATAAAGCATTGCAGGTCTCACCACCATCTTATAGAATTTTCCCTTAAGTTTGAGGGGGGCTATTCTAATATATCATTCAATAAGGTACAAAAAATATATATTTAATCATGATTTTATTGATGGTTATACTACCCACATACATGCTTCAACTCCATCTTTCTTAAGTGTAAGCAAAACAGGTACAACACAAGGTGGCATGCTTTCCATAACAAATCTCTTCTTAAGTAAGCCATCAACTTCTCTTTTAAATTTTGCATGATCTATTAGATTCACCTTATAATAAATAAAATTAGGTAATGATGATCCAATAACTAAATAAATAGCAATATTGTATATCCTTGAGTGGTGATAATACTTTAGGAAGCTCATCAGAGCAAATATCTTTAAAATCACTACAGTCCTGCTGATCAATTTGCCATGGTTGGTAAGAAGGCCATATAAAATCATTCGACACATTAGGAAGTAAGAATATAACTTGGGAATCTCAAAAAACTATGGTATTAGTTTGATTTTTAATGTATACGTTTTGATTTTATATTATGAACTGCCAAATAAAAAATTGGACTATTCTCACTTTCCATATGCTTCTTAATGATTTGCATTCAACATATCAATTGCACGGCTCTTAGAATATCATACTAATCTTATTTTTAAAACAAATTTTAAAGATAAAATTATGACCGCTATTGTTGCTGGATAACAAATATATTTTGTAAAGTGAAAAAACAAGTCAATGGATATTGGATCCATAGAATTCCCCACATAAGTAGAACTATTTTGTCCAACATGCATTCTATTAACTGAATAATTCTTCAGAGCTAATTTTTTTCAACTAATGCAGATTTATCTACACCCCCCAAGTTCAAGAATATAGCTCTTTATGGGATTTCTACTTCCCTTCCATCTCCACTCATGAACAGTGTGTTGTTTTTCAATATGTGACTTGTATGAGTTTTGTTGTGCAGCTCTTATAGTTTCCTTATACCAGATTTTTTTCTTGCAGTTTCAGTTCTATCTGGACTTCTCATCTATGGATGGCTACAGATTCTAATTTCTTGTTTTTTATTGTAAATTGTGACAGGACTTTTTATTATGAATATGGGTTTATGAGGAATGTAAAAACATTATTTTATAATTACTAGTTTGATTTAATAGATGATTAGCTGGATGGAATTCATTTTGACCTACTAAATTTTCAGGGGAAGCTCTGTCCAGTTATGAGGCATAATTTTTCTATTTGGTGATCTTTAATCTTTAGAGTTCTTATCCTCTGATATCTCATAACTGGTGTAATTGCATGATTGAACTTTGTCAAGTTATTGCAATTTAGCTTCCAATTGCGACATGATTGTCAATAAGGATGCATGATTTCACACCTTTTATGCTGATTTTCATATTTTTAGTTTTCATCTAAGAAAATGAATTGTTTTCTAAATTAAAGATTATGAACTAAGTGAAGAGTGCGTAATTTTTTGCTTCTCGTTCTAAATTTGTATCATGAAACAATGGATAAAATATCCTAGACCAACATATGCTTTGTCGATTAGAACTAAAATGATTATTAGAATGTTGATAAACCGAGGGAAAAAAAAGATAATAACAAATTTATCTTCCAACCTACAGCACCGTATTCAAGGTATTGGTTGTCTTCTATCAAGAGTAATGTTATTTTCTCCTGCAGCATTAGTCTATTATCGTGCTATCACCCCTGTATGTTCTTCTGTTTTCTTCCTAACGATGCATATCACTTGCTTTTAAGCTTAAAATACCATCTTTTCATTTTGTTCTAAGCATTTATTTCTTTTGTAAAATACCAAAGAAACGTTCAAGAGATTATAATTCTACCTCATAAGTACTTCTTTTATTACTCAGTATTTTCCTCTAATCAATATCAACAATTTAAGAAAACATTAAGCATTTAACTACCATCCCGTGCTTTGCACGGGCATGCTGCTAGAATACGCACTTTACACGAATAATGAGACCAAGCCCCCTTCTTTCAAACTGGAGGCATGGAGCGGCTTTTTGCTAGAAGATGGGAGGAAATTCAGTAAGATGTCGGATAAGCAAAATCTAAGAGATCACAAACGTAGATTGCTCGCGGCTAAATATGAATTGAGACGAAAGCTTTCAACCTCTTACGTTGTAGATCTGAAGCGAAACAACGCAAGTAATGACCCAAAACAATATAAATCAATCATGCAAGATCATGAGAACATTATCAGTAAAAAGCTTCAGTACCATCCTTATGCTCCTCAAACAAAACTACTAAGCTTGAGGACAAATCCTCATCCTTTATGACAATTATTTCAACTCCTAGACGACTCTATGTGGAGCTTAGTTGCCCCGCCAAGGTTGATTGCTATCTGCTATATGCCAATCAATAAATGGTTTAAGCTATAAAGGTCAAGGAACTTTTTCTTGCTGGAATGACGGATAATTGTCCTTCTAAGTGTCAGATTAGATAGGCCGACTGTCCTTAAATGAGCCAATGAAGCATAAACCTACGGGGAAAATCTTTGTTCGACTTGAAGGGTTAAATCGTCCTAACATGTCAGCTATCAACAGGCAAAAAATACAGTTACTCCGACCACAGTAAAGTATTGAGATAAGAAAAGGGCTAATCAAATTACTCCCACATGCTGAGATACAAATGATGACAAGCCGCATGGTCTTGATCCGCTTTCCTTAACCTCTCAATTCTCAACAGTAATATCCTCTTTCAGCTCATATTCCTACTTCATATGTGGTCTGATTAGTTCCAAATTAGTTATCAGCATGGTCAGGGAATATTAGAAAGAAACGAGCAGAAGGTAATTGCCTAATCAATAAAGAGGCTTTCTTTACAAGGTCGCGTTTGATTACTATGGCATCACTCCATCAAAAACATTCGTAAGGAATTTGGCTGTTTGTTTCAACTAAATAAACTATAAAGCATTACAATACTGAAGAGTATAAGAATGCTGAAAGGAAGTTAAAGCAGCTAAGAAAAAAAGTAAACACATTTGGTGAGTAATTAGCCAGTGGAGAGAAAGAGAAGATGATACATACACAGGAGACCAAGGCATGGAAGCAGAAAACTTTTCAGTGTTCAAAAACGTATTAGAAAGAACAAGTGATTTAACCCGTCTAGGTCGATACTGAGCAAAAATTTGAGCTAAAAAACCACCTAGGGATGTGCCATAAAGATGTACCTGTCAGCATGCATCGTGCAATCAAAATCTTCAAAATCAATATAATTAAAATAAATAAGATGAGTTCCTTACATGATGAACATTAATTGTATCTAAGAACTTCTCAAATGCATGAACCCACTCGAGATGGTTCCAAACACGTGGTAAATCAAGTGAAATAACTCGGTATCCCTGAGAAATACTTAAAGATCATAGTCATCAGTAAATCTGAAATGCATAAGCTATTGAAGAATTACTGACCAAAGAAATTTCCTGTAAATATTACTAAACCTAGAAAGATAAATTCTCAATAAAAGAGGTCAAGCAAAACCATGAAGTTGGAGGTGGCAGAATAAAATTAATCGGTTTGCATGAACATGATAAGAACCAACTCCATATGCTTCTTTAACTCAGCAAATATGTATGCTCATATCAACAGGTTATTTTATTTAATTGCTGGGAATTATTTGCACTAACAACAAAGCGATTAACAAGCCATAAGGTAAGGTGCTTTAATAAGTTAAATTGGTCAAAATCTGAAAACTTTGAGTGGATTAATATCTTCAAAGGTTACAATCATCATAAATGGATTCAAATAATAGCACAAGCATAATTCATCTCCAAGCTTATCAAGCTAACAACAAACTTTGTTCAAATTTAGAGAAGCCTGTAAAACAGTAAGCACATTCGCTTGTATTGTTCAATGAAATTACAAAAGCTCATGGTCATGTCACATTTATGATGTACAGACACTTCTCCTCAATGAGGTATGTAGCGTCCGATATATATCGGACACAACACGCATCTAACACGCCTACTGTACATATCGAACATGCTAAAGACGTGTCCGATTACAAAAAATATTAAAAACAAATTAGACACACGTGTCCGACAAGCATTTCTTAAATATTTTATGAAATTTTTTTTATTATAATTTCTTAAATTGTATTTATTTATTTATTAAAAAATAAAAAAATTTCTTATTTCCTCTCAATATCCTCCCCAAATTAATTGTCTGCACTCAATACCCCATTCACCTATTTTCATTTCTCTCAGGTAGATCGAAGCTAAGATTTCACAAGAACATCTAATATCATCGCAACATCAACATTCGACATTTCGACGCCATCACTACATCGATATTTCAAAACCATCTGAAAATCAATGTTTGACACCAGCAATTTCTACCCCCACAATCACGATCTAACATCGTATCGACATCTCATCTTTGTCCAACGTCATCTTAACATAGACGACCACGTTGTCTCGACATCGACGCTCAATGCTCAACTCTTGACAGCATTGTCGTCTCCCCTCTCGATGCTTGAAACACAGCATCAATGCCCGACTCTCGACATCCTAATATTAATCATTTTAAGCACAAGTTTGAATTAAATGATTTATTATTTTTTAATTATTCTTAACATTTTGCTTACTCAATTTTTATAAAGTATATTTAAGATAACAAAATTATAATGTTGTGTCCAACTTGTGTCGGTATCCTATATTTTTAATAATTGATGCGCCTAATGTTCATGTTGTGTCACTGTCTATGTCACCGTATATGTGTTGAATTCAAACTTAAGTCAGGCATATCAACCCAGAAATCTAATTTATGAACTTTTCTTCTCTTGCTTAGCATAAGATGGTTAGGCTACCTATGTTTGAACCTAGCCTATGTTTCTTGACTTGGACATGGTATCGTGCCCTGTATCAAACTGTTCATTGCATATTTCTATTGCTCAAGTTATAATTTGCAATGGCAACAAAATTCTGGTATCTCTCCATCTTTCATTAATTTTCTTGGATCCTTGGTTCAAGTGAAATTGAAATTATCTTAACATAATTATTAGATGCGGCTTGTTAATGAGAGAAATTTCCAGTTAAATTGCAACAATTTCAGTGAACTTTGAACTGAATAGAGTCGATCTCCTTTTGAAAAGTAATACAATTACAAACATAAATTCATGTGACAATTATGATTGCATTTCTAAACATTAGGGCAGCTATAAAATTAGAATAAGTTTAATTAAACTATATGCATCGCATCATGGCATAATGTAGAGTAACTCCTAACATTTTGGTGAGAGCTTGTACTTTTCAATCTTTTTAAGCTTTTCCACAAAACATCCCTTGATAGGATCTTGTATTATTACACATACATCTTCAACTGACATAAGAAAGCATGACAAAACTAGATCGTGATCAAATTTAATGATTTCAGTCCCCCGTGTAGAGAAAAACTGATACATGAAGTATCATTGCAATAATAAATAAGCCAGAGAATGGAAATTAAGTCATATTCAATTGTCATGTGCATACCTTCAGGGACAATGACATGATCTGCTTATAGTAAACATCAGCAGTTCCAGCAATGCCAGGGAGGCAGATAAGAGGAGGCACAGATTTTGGACCGAAGTCATAGTATCTCCATTGTTTGGATCCGATCTACATTTAAGTAGATAGGTAACCTCAGAATCACATTCATCGTGAAAATAAGTATATGAAAAATCTTTCAACCACAAAGGGGCATCAAAGTGCAAGGGCTTCTGCTTACTTTGGGTACGGATGGATTAATGTGCACAACCCCTGCATTACGCAGAGGTTCTTACAGTGATTTGAACTTATGAACTCCTAATTAGAATGGATGTGATATAACTATCTTTCATGAATACATAATTATACTTCTTTTCTACCACAACACGAACTAAATGTTTTTGAAGAGCATACAGTTTTGCTCTTGTATTTACGCAGACTTGATGGGAATGAAAGATAATAATAAATTAGGTTTCAACTACAATTGGGACAATGAACAAATTAAACCGCCTATGCTTTCAAGGGGATCAAAGAACCCGTTGGAATTTCCAAACAACCCTAACTAAAGCAATAAACCGTGTTTTTTTTTTTTTTTTTTTTTGGCTCAATTAATTGTGGCCATAACATTATAGTTACAATTACTTACTATCACCTTGAAACAAAAAACACTTTCAAACCAAAAGAGCTTCCAAAAAGACTTTATGGTACTATTTCATTACATTAACATTAACATTCAAATTCACTCGAACATTCTGCAAACAGCCAATATAACGAATCAAGCCAGATTAGGTCCGTGTACGAGAATTAAATATTAAAAACAGTAACCAGAATTGAATCACAAAAGTACCAATGAAAAACCAAACCTACAGCAACTCACTCATAATTCCACAAATCACCCACATGAATATGCTTATTCAACTTTAGAAAAGCTCAAATATGATATTAGAACAAGGAAAACGAAACACGACTTAATTCGTACAGATATCTTGTGGAGGGGAACTTGCGACTTGAAGTAGACATAATCTCCAGGCGCGGATGCCAGACCTTTCATGCCTTCACCCTTTCGTATCTTTCTTCCCGTCCTTCCACCTTCCTCTACACACCAAAAAGGAATGGCAGCGGTAGAAGCGAAGCTGGCGTGCCTTCCCTATGCTAGAAGAAGGCGCCGGAGCCAGAGGGGAGACCTATCGCCGGAGAAGGAAGGATCTGCCGCTCGCAGATGGAAGATGGATGATTGGATGGATATTATTTCGGGTGGATTATTAAAACCTAAATAATGTGGAGAATAAAAATAGAAATATAAGAATGAGGAGGTGGAGAGCATTAACTTCATGGTAAGATAATTTTATTATAATAATTAATATTTTACAAAATAAATAAATAAAATTTATAATTTCTCAAATAAATACTTATAAAATCTTAATTAAAATTCTTTTTTTATTAATGAGCACAAAGTTTTTTTTTTTTTTATCAAATTTATTCAAATTTTTATTAATGAACACCAAAGTTGTTTTTTTTTTTTTTAATTGAGTAGATGTTATTAAGACATAAAATTTAGAAATCAAAACAAAAATATTATATAAAAATAAAAAATATAATATAAATACTAAAAATTCTTACATTAATGGGATATAAAAATTAATAAAATTTTGAAGTCATTAGATTAATTATTTCTTTCATCTCACAATTAATAATAATTAATATTATGTTTATTAGCATTTTCCTAATCACCCTCAACACATTAAGTATTCATTTGTTCAGATTTTAGTAATAATTATTAAATTTATATAAATTGTTATAATAACTATATATCATGATTATCCTTTCTATCTCTTAGTATTAATATAAATGCCTATTAATAATCTAGATATTTTAAATATTAATGCTCCATTCAAATCAAAAGTTAGATAAAATATTCTTCCTAATTCATACAATTATAATTGTTATACTAATTTACTTATAAGCTAATTATATACTCAAAATGGATGGAGCATAGATCTCTTAGAATTAGCTTAATTGAGTTGCAAAATTCTTTAAATAATATTAATGTAAAGCAATAAAAGTCAATTTGTGTAAAGATACTTCACAGAAATATGTAATAATCATACTTTACTATGTTGGTGAATAAAAACCATCACTAAAACAAACAAGAACTAGAGATTCAAATCGGAAGAAAGAAAATTAAGATTAGTTTATTTGGGATTAGCTTTCTTATTGTTTATTAAAGCAACTTTTTATATAAAAATTTAATTTTGTACTAAAAAGCTATTTTAAAAATTATTTAAGGAAAGTCATCCCAAAATAAAGCCTTTAATGTGGATAAATTCTTCTGTTCTGATACGAAAGCTGTCTGAAGACGAATCAAAATTGCTTCACATCCAACCTTTTGGTTGCTGATACGGTTGTATACCGGGTGATTGGCGCATTCCAGATTCGCTACGAATGATCTGGTGTCCGCACAGAATAATTTCTCCTTGATTTGGTGCAAAAAAGTTGAATACTAGTTGCGAACATGTGCCGAGTCACATTTTCAATCTCAACGTGAATTTTGCGCAGTGTCATTGATATGAATGTATGCTACGTCATTTTAGGCCGTCACCCCTCACACTTGGTATGGGAATCATATGTGATTGTCGAGCCAATGTGCATTCATTTGAATAGAAGGGAAAGCAAATCAGACTTATGCCATTATATGCTAGCACTTGGCTTGTCACAACTCATGTGAAGCCTCTGCATTTTCTCTTATATCAAGATTTTTAATGTAACTTGTAAAGAAAACCACTCTCTTCTTGCTTTAGTTATTTAGTAAGCTTGTGGGAACTCCAAACTTGCCTGAACATGCTCACACCTTGCTGGAGAAATTTATGAATATGTGTCCAACTAATCTCCCTCCAAGATTGCCCCATCTCCACAATACATCACCAATGTAATAGCCCTAATTTGAATATTTTGAATATCCAAAAATTTTCAGAAGTATGTGGCTTATGTGGTGCGGCGCAGTGCTCCGAGCTCTCTGGAATTTTGAAATTTATTCGACAGGTGCTGTTGTGCGCTCATTGTATTACATGCATGCTACAACGCTAAGTTACATAAGCTTTGGACCAGGCGCTGAAATGAGATTTATATAATATTTTAATCTAAAATATCACTATCATTTGCTTCCACCCTCCCATTTTTGATTTGGCTTGGCCGTGAAGGGAAGAAAGTGAATTAAAAATATAATAGAAGAAAATTGTTCGAGTTTTGTTAGAAATGTGCCCTTAAAGAAATATTATTGTAATATATTTTTTTATGGAAATAAAATTTAAAGAACAAGTTTAGCCATGTTTTTGATAATATTTTATTTCATAATTATTTATGTAACTATAATTCAGTACATAATTATATTACAAGAGAAAAAGTTATTGATAATAATATAAACATGATTCATAATTAATTAATTATAGTTTAATATATAATTTAAATATTATTAATTACGGTCATTAATATTAAGAATGGAACAATCTTATCCGGATTATTCGATATGAAAATATTATGGATGGATACTTTATATAATATGATATATAGAACTATACAAGATAAAATTTGGAATTCTCAAAAATATTATTTAACTATAGAGAATTAAAATTAATCATAAATGATCATATATAAAACAAATCATAATTCTGATTATTAATAAAACTACTATTTGTGACATTTAGTTTTTTTTTATTTACTCAGAAATAGTTGGAAGAAATAAAAATTAATCATTGTATTTCAATAAACATAATAAAATAAATGCTGAGAATTTAATAGAATTTATATAGAAATTCATTTCTTTCTTTTTTGAAAGTTAGAAAATTAGTTCCCTCTAATAATTAATTCAGAACCTGAATAAATTGAGTGCTCAAATTTATGATGAGATCACGAAGGTTATTGTTTCATTAGAGAATTTAATTGAAATCAAGGATAAATATATAATTAGTGAGTGACAAATTACTAGCTCTAATTATGAAATTTTTTATGGAGACTCAGTTTATATGTAATGATTAAATCAATGGGACAATTCAATTTTGAATTGGTTAAATTATACTATAAATGTCAAGAGTGCAATTTCATATTTTACAATAAATAATATTAAAAATTAATAATTTTGATTTATTTAATTTAAGAGTTGAGATTAATGGTCAAATTTATTAGAGTTTAATTAAGGTTCCACGGGTCCTTTTCTTCATCACCTAAGCTCATAATTATATATTGAACACTATCATTAAGAATGCGACATAATATAAATGTTAAATTTTTGATTACATTAAGTAACATTCTTTTATGTTTTATGATCACCTTTTTAATATATCAAAAATTTTCATGAAAAATGATAAATCATCATAAATATTTTTATATTAAAAATAAAGATGGATTATGTGTCATTAAAGATAAGAGATGATGTTCATGCAATAATCATTTTTAAATATTGATTAAAATTATTCTTGAATTGTAAATAGATGGTTATAAAAAAGATTGTTATTAAAATTGAAAAGATATGAAATTTTTTTATAAAATAATAAATAAGTTCTACATGAAAGATGAGATGATTTCTTCACGAAGATTGAGATGATATATGAGAATGGATTAGTCTCTAGTCTTTCATTTGAAAGGATTAAATTGATTAAGAACACAAATATATTAAAAAAAGATGATCATCAATGATGATTGATTGCGCAATCATTAAAATATATTTGGTGGGGGTGATTATAAGAAGAAGATTTACAGTCTCAATCAACTTTTGACGATTGAAATTTACAATATCAATCAACATTTCGGTAAGTTCTTCATTTGATATTTTAAAATTATTATTTATTAAGAAAATTAATATGGAGAAAGTATCAATATTTTCTAAACATCTGATTTCATTTTTCACTTTTATATATGGAATAAAGATCCAACGTTTTCATCCACGATTCTATTTTGAAATTTCATCTAATTCTAATAGATTAACTTGAATCATACTGTTATTTTCAATGATTTTGTTTATGATTAAATCATACTAACAACTTAATAAAACTAAGTTCACTTATTTATTCAAGCTTCACTGCGTAAGTTTTTGTGTATATGATAGACATGATTTTTTTATATGATAGATAGATTATTATAAGTATTATTGACTGTATTATTATTGAATTCTACTTTAATTAAATTATATTATTTATAAAGCTTATTGAAATATATAATAATAAGAATTTATAAGCATTCATGGATTATTGTATTTCATTACATTTCTACTCAAATTGCACATTTAAAATATATGACTGATATAGATAATTGATGCCATTACAAAAAGTGTTATTTGTATAATGAATTTAAGTGGTGAATAAAGATACCCTTTATATGAGAGTGGATGATGGGCTTTTCTTTGGATTATGGAATACACGATACAAAAAATAGAAAATAGATAAAGAAACGAAACAAATAAGCCGAATGAGCAAGAGCAATACTCTGCAATATAATCACTTACATTGATAATCTCTCTCTTGT